GAGAGTTGAAACGTATTTCGTTGTGTGTGTCTTATTTGACTGTAAAGTATAAGTGACTTCCCCGATCCCGTACCTCGAGGGGATTCCCCCTGACACGTGAGGAGAACCTCAGAGGGGAAGAATTTACCCCTGATAGAACTTCAGGCTTTGATATTGAATTCAACTTTGGTAGAAAGTGCGTCCAATCACCCGATTTCGCCCAGTTAACTTGGCCATATCTAATCACTCATAGCAGAAACTCAGGAAATGAACGGTTGAACCTTAAAGGGCGACAGTCATTGTGCCGCATCCTGTTTGATATGGGACTCATAGCGACGTACACAACGCGTGTAAAATACATTGTTTATTTACATGAAATTCGAGCACACGCTGCGCAACGACCACTGTGCTTTAAGCCCCTGTCCAGGAGTCCAGTATGTCATTAGGATGACTACTGGGTGATGTAGCACAACCTACTTTCAGACATTTGTTAAATGTGGTTAAATCTGGACTATTCGATCTCTTAGTATTGCCTGTTCAGTTTATACGGTTATAAAACATAAATACATAAACCAATCTCTCATGTAACATAATTCAATTCAGACACTTCATGACACTACTGCAGAAGCAACACATTACAGCCAACTACTGAATCGTGAGTATTACAAAGTTACACGGTTAGTTTTAGAATTGCGTGTTTTACACATTTTCTTCAAATATTCACTTTGATGAGTACATATGTAGATACTCCATGTGATTAACAATTCTGATTGAACATCCTTAGAGTACTTTGAGTTCATTCACTTGTCTTTGCAATTATACTGCACAATCTAGATGGTAGAAAATCGAATAAATTTAAATTAGTATTTTGTTTTATTTCTATTTTATTCAATACACAGATCATACCCACTAAGACATACAGAAACAAAACAGCATGGCCATGGAAGGTATTATGAGAAGAGGGAGTTAATACGGATTTGTATTTTTTTATTCTTCTGTTTGAAGCCTTTTGTTTTAAGCATAATCATGGTTAAATTCATGATTTTAGGAACTTGCCTTGCACATGAGTAAAAAAGTTGGCAGTATACTGCTGGTGCAATGTTGAAAATACGTTCCGTGTGTGAAATATAAGGTTAGGGCCTAGGGTGATGGAAACTTGTTATTGGGATATAAATCATAACATGAGTAACTATCCCTGATTTAGATATGTAGTAGAATTCTGGTATCAATCTGTGACTGTTTCTGAGCTGACCTGGGTGCTAATTATTCATGAAATCGCATTGTGGGTTTACCAAGTAAATAAATTGAAGCGATCATGGAACAGACGTGAACAATATCTTCATCTCTCTCCTCCTATTACCTTCCATTGTACGACCAACAGACTTTACAAAGACTACAAAAGGTACTATGATGATATGATGATATAACTATTATTGCTTAATGACATAGACAAAGTCTTTAATATCATAGACCTGTTCTAATGGTGCATTGCGCATGGAAATAATACTCTTATTAGAAAAGCTGATAACCTTACACTATTCATTCAAATAAATCAACAGCGCCCTCTAAACCAGCGCCATTTTTAACGAGTGTACGGAGGATTGCAGTGACGGAAAATGGGTAAGGTAAGTATAACTTTCCTATGAACAATTTCAAATTATTTCAAGAGTGAATTTGTCTATGTTAATGCATACTTTTCCAAGTATTGAAAGAAACAAAGGTATACCCAGGAAGCGGATGACCTGCCTCAGTTCTAAAACAAAAATGGTTGTCCTAAATTCTTATAATAGTAACTAGGGGCTGTCAGGAATTATATTAGTATACCTGACATAGACTATACGATGTGCAGAAAACTTTCACATCTCTTTAGAGAATTGAAATTGTGAATCATGGGAATCGTGATTGGATAAGCTGAGGGAAATAGTTTTTTCAAAGCATTATGGCTGAGTCCTAGCACTGATGACTCTTGGGGCTTGATGCAACTGTGAAATGACTCCCAAATGAGAGATTTCATAACAAAACAGAATACGTGTATAATAGGCCCTCCAATGTTTCTTTTACCCGCACTAGCCTCTGAATTTTCTTGGTTCTTACTACCTGCGATTTGCAAGAGTAAGAGAAGTAGGATAAAATTGTTTAAAATCCCGCTTTTTGATTTTGCCAAGAAATCATACCTGGTCTCAGAAAAAAAGTCTTGACTGCCGCCACAAAGTGCAGCGACCAGAAAAAGTGAGTAGTCTACTACCCACGGCTACAAGACTAGAGTGAGCTGAACAAATGTACTGTAAATCAAAATATTCAAGCATTGCTGTCTTTAGTAGTTCTTACAGCTCCTACTGGCTCCTCAAGGGAGTGTGTGGGTCGTTGGTTACTGTTGAATAAAAAATGAACAGTGACAGTTCTACACCAGTGTGTGCATGAACACCAGTTGCCAGGCTAGCCATGTATCCCTGATTGCGACATACTCGTTCTTTCGAAATGTAACGATTCCATCAGCTTTGATATATGATCGGACACAAACCCACCCACATGCACCCTCGGAAATATGAGAGCAATAAAAAAGGAAGAGAGTCGGACACTACTGTACTTGCACCCCTTGCAAGTAAGTCTCCACCTCCTGTAGGATCACACTCAGGATTACTGGATTTTTCAGCAAGGTCACTATAGTCTACTGAGAGTGTCAATGAATCGACCTCTGCTCATATTAAGCTGTCATCAGCTCACCGTGTTGATCTATCTATAACATTATACTGGCAGTTAAGTGCCTGATTTCAACAAACGTTATATGTGAAGGCTCAGTCAAAGCTTTCAAAGTAATAGGTTGTCTGACCAACAGCGGACAAAACCAACTCGGTCCCCTCCAATCACAAATTATACTCATTTATAAATACAGATCTTGATACCACGTTCTACCTTAAGTCATCTGTTGAGACACACGTGACACACAGCCTTAATCACTGCCTTCGAATTAGAAGCTTTATCAGTCAGAGGAAATTGCCAATAACATAACGAACCTATTCAGCTTAAAGAACATCGCCCTGATAGAGATTCTATGGTTCTATGGTA